AAACTATGTGAGTTTCTCAAAGCCATGTAACTACAAATAAAATTAGCCAGGATTTGAGAGCCGGTGGGAATGACTGACTCCTTGTTCCGATTCCCTGTTGTTTCTGCGCCCTCCAGGCTAAACTAAGCTGGACTTGTTAATATTCACAATCTCAGCTTCAGCCCATCACTAGGCCTTGCCTCTGGTCTTCCTGCCTGGAATGCCTTGCTTTCAGTCCTCATGTATACCCCAGACTCCTCTGACAATGGTGCTCAGTTGGACCCATGCCTAAAGATCACCTGGCACACTAAAACAGTGCAGACTCAGAGTGGGAGGTAGGGGCACAACTAGATTCCAAGTGAGTTTGGCTTGCATGAGGCCAGCGGCTGCTGCTTGGAGCACTCAGTCACAAGAATTGTTTTATTTCACTGGGGTAGAAGAACATTGTCTGTTTCTAGTGTGGTTTTACTCACCTGGCATATAATAACCAGTCAGTAAAGGGAAAGGTGGTTTAAATCCTAGTTACCAACCTGTTGTCACCTTAGAAAGGCTGAAAGTTAGAACGTGGTAATGTTCGCAGAATGGAACTCTTCTAGTCTACAGGGTCCTACAAGGCATTGAGCATCTTAGAGACCCGTGTTAATCTTGCTAGCCCTGAGTTCTGCTCATCAGCAGCCATGAAGACAGGGGATTTCTGTGACTTTATGGTGAATGACTGACAGTGCTTTGTGGTGAATAAAAAGACTAGTGTGAACATCTCCACTCAGTCCACTCAGCTTTCCACATGGCGTGGCAAACCAGGAAAAACAGTAGCTAGTGAGCTGTGGTTGGCCTGACACCGGCTCATTTCCTGTGCCGCTGTGTCAGTGGCACATCAAATATCAGTCTTAGCAGAAGTAGGGAGTAGAACCTCAAATATCTCCCAAGAGAGCAAAAGACAACACCCATTACAATGGCTGCCATTTATGAGGTATATGTACTGTGTGCTTGGTGCTGAGCTTGATACTATTATTAGAATACTATTATTAGAATATCATTTTCTGGGTGGTTTTTTATTTTTTTGGTTTCTTTGTTATTTTTTTGTCAGTCATGGGGCTTGAACTGTGGGCCTGGGCACTGTCCCTGATCTCTTCAGCTCAAGGTGAGCACTCTACCACTTGAGCCACAGCACACTTCCAGTTTTCTGGTGGTTTATTGGAGTTAAGAGTCTCACCAACTTTCTTGCCTGAGCTAGCTTTGAACTGCGATCCTCAGATCTCAATCTCCTGAGTAGCTAGGATTATAGGCGTGAGCCCAGCTCTGTGGTTTTTTTTTTAAAGGAAACCTGAGTTAGGTGTTGTCATTTCCATTTCATTCATGCACAGTCTGAAGTTGAACATATTTAAGTCCCAGAAGAAAGGGAAGAAGAGTCTGAGAGCCATATTGGCCTCTGTTTTCCTCTCCCCTTGAGTTTACACCCTGCTGACCTTTAGTCAGCTCTATACCTTGGCCTTTGGTTCTCTCCTCAGTCTGAATTCCCTTCCAGGAAGTTTCTTGGTGAATCATTCATAGGATAAGTAACACCCTTGCATCTATCAAGATGAGCACTTGTCCTGTTATGTGATTAGATATGCCTTCCTTATTACAGCTGGAAGATATTGTCCATACTCAGAGATCTCACCCTTAGTCCCCTGCTACATGTGTCTCTCTGACCTTTTCAGGGGTTGCCAACAGAGATAAATGACCAGTAGAAGAACTGGATGTTCCATTAAAGGCTTAGCTCCTTATTGCAGTCACATAGTGTCCAGCAATCATGATAGCCAAAGGACAACAGAAGAATTTATTCCCTATAGTGTGTGTGTGTAATGTGTGTGTGCACAGGCATGCGCGTGCACGCATGCATGCATGTGTGTACTCCTGTGAGCGCTCCCTCACTTGAGATTACAGACATCACCTGTAAACCTAACTATATCTATAAATCTGTAGTCTGTTTTGGCAGTCATTTGGTGACTAGAAATAGAAAAATTGCATATCTGTCACTTCTAGTACCGCTCAGAAGAAGCTGGAAGTGGTGCTTTGTCCAGTAGAGTGCTAGTCTTGAGCAAAAGAAGCTCAGGGACAGTGTCGAGGCCCAGAGTTCAAGCCCCAGGACCAGAAAAAACAACAACAAACAACTCTAGCACCGTGGTTTTCCAAATGTACTTCCTGTGTCAGGTGCTGGAGCATTAGGGAACTTTCTAAAGTACAAATTCTGGAATTCTACAGAATGACTGGATTCAGCTTTGGCAATCTGTGTGTTATATTAAGCCTCTCCTCCAGATGGTTCTTTTTTTTTTTTTTTTTCTTCCCTTGTGGGTTGTGGCCTGAACTCTGGGCCTGGGCACTGTCCCTCAGCTCTTCAGCTCAAGGCTATCCCTCTACCACTTGAGCCGCAGTGCCACTTCTGGCTTTTTCTGCTTATATGGTGCTGAAGAATCGAACCCAGGGCTTCATGCATGCAAGGCAAGCACTCTACCACTGAGCCACCTTCCCAGCTCCTTAGATGGTTCTGATATACTAAGGTGAAGCTCCACAGACCAGGAAAGAGACTGACTTATGTCAGACCTGGGCTCCTGTGCAAAAGCCATATCTGGGTCTTAGACCTAGACTAAGGCCAAAGGCCTGTAGGAAGAGAAGTGGATGGATGCATCTGTTTGGAGGTTTTTTTTAACCACATCAAGGCTTATCATTTTTTGACAAAAGTCAAGGTTGACTATATCCTTTTGAGTACTAACAACCATTGCCACTGAGCTTTAAGTTTTTTGGCTATTGATTGTAGTTCTGTTACTACTAATCTTTATTGAAGACTTAATAGCATTGTTTTTTGATATATCATATAGAACTTTTATACTCTCAGTACCTTAAAATACTCTGTTATTACTGGAAACATTCTGTGAGTTGCAAAACAGGGGCACATTTTTATAGTAACTAAACGCCTTTGAAGAATGATCAGCTACAGATTTAGATGAGTAAAAATTAGGGTATTTAGTATATCAGAATCCTTCTGGTGATTTTTTCCCCCCAGAATCTCTACTGTGAAGCAAATTCTTCCATCTCCAATTTTTACTTTTTTAAATGATTTTTTAAAGGTGATATACAGAGGGGTCACAGTTACATAAGTCAGGTAATGAGTACACTTCTTTCTCCAATTTCTTTAAATGTGATACTTTAGCTAAATGTGAGCTTCCCCCTTGTTAGTAATACTAGCAAGTGTAAACAGACTTGAACTTGTAGTAGATAATACACACTACATAATCCCTTCCTTGCAAGGCTCGCTGAAGTTTTCATTTATGTCATATGTGCAAGGAATTCTAGGACTTATAGTCAGGGAACCTGGAATTTATAGACTGTTTTCACTTGTCACCTTGGATAATGTCTTGATTTTCTAGGCTTTAATTTTTAGTTAGTTAGGTTGTTTTTTTAATTTGGGGGGGTGTTTGTTTTATCTGTAAGATGGTAAGTCTTGGTTGAGGTGAACAGTGGTGGTTTTACCTTCACTAAAAGAAACAATTTTTACCCACACAGTGGACGTAAAAACATAAATATGATGGTAACTAAATTTTCTAGCTAGATTTTTACTAAAGTGAACAGATTTTTTTATGCCTCTTAGTCTTCCTTGTAATCTTTCCAGAATCTGTTTACAAACAATTGAAGACAATTTTCATTATTTTGAATTCATTCGAGGAAGACTGCTTGTGGTGAAGTGTTTGTCTAGCAAGCCGGCAGCCCCAAGCTCAAACCCTTGTACCACTCCTTCCTCAATGAATTAATTACAGAAACATTATTTTTTTTTTTTTTTTATTGTAAAGCTACTATACAGAGGGTTACAGTTACATGAGTGAGGTTATGAGTACACTTCCTCTTGAACATTGTTACCCCCTCCATTGTTTTCCCCCTACCATCCCCTCCCTCCCTCCCTTCCCCGAGGTTCTTTTTTTTTTTTTTTGATTGTGATTAAATGATTACATAATTTCAAAGTCACAAGTTCATTCTAACTTCCCTGGAGCAAATTGTCTACCACAGTCTGTAATATATAACAGTGTTCACATGTTATATACCATATTTGTGATCAGCAGCATGGGGATATTTAGTAGTGGTTCAACCAGATGAGCGGGAGTTCTTTGTTTCTTAAGTCCTGTTAGTTTTGTCGTATCACCTAACCTTTTGGATTTAGCATCCACTTATGAGGGAGACCATGTACCGTTTGTCTCTTCGTTCTTGGCTTACCTCGCTCAACATGATTCCTTCTAGCTCCATCCATTTCCCTGCAAATGCCATTATTTTGTCATTTCTAATGGCTGCATAATATTCCATTGTGTATAGATACCACAATTTTTGGATCCATTCATCTGTGGTGGGGCACCTAGGTTGAGAAACATTATTTTTTAAATTACAGTGTTGGTTTGGTTTGATGTGTGTGTGTGTGCATGTGTTTTTTAAATACATACTGGTTGATAGGAAAAATTTCAGAGTATATTGATTTAGTAGACATGTTAAAATGTTACTGCCTAATTTTTTTTAAAAATAGCATTTCAGTGATAATTACATCTCATCTAGGTTTTTGTTGTTTTTGTTTTTTGTTTTGTTATTATTCTTTTTTTGGGGGGGGGGTCAGTCATGGGGATTGAACTCTGGGCCTGGGTACTGTCTCTCACCTCTTTAGCTCCAGGTGAGTGCTCTACTGCTTGAGCCACAGCGCCATTTCTGGTTTTCTGGTGGCTTATCAGAGAAAAGAGTCTCACAGACTTTCCTGCCCAGGCTGGCTTTGAACTGCAATTCTCAGATCTCAGCCTCCTTAACAGGATTATAGGCATGAGCCACCGGTGCCAGGCTTTGTTTTTATTCCTGCTGGTACCGAGGTTTGAATTTGGCGGCTCAAGCTCACTGGGCTGACTTTGAACCTTGATCCTCTAGGTCTCAGCCTCCTGAATAATAGCTATCCTGATGTTTCTATTTTTAAGTGAAAAGCATAACTGTATTAAATCTGAAATCTTTTCTTGTAGTGACCCATATGTGAAGCTTTCATTGTATGTGGCAGATGAAAACAGAGAACTTGCTTTGGTTCAAACAAAAACAATTAAAAAGGTAAGTTGTCTGTCCTTTTCTAAAATTCATGTAAGTCATCATTTAACTTGTATTTTAACAAGTATTTATCAATTTTATGCTGTATTTTTGCTTTGTAGAAGTGTCTACTGAAAGGATAAGATGGCAGCATTTTTATTTTCACCACCTGCAAGCATTAAATCTAAAAATTATCTATAAGCCAAACTTTTCTGTGTTCATCCATGAAAAATGACTGTAGGCAGTATTTTGAAAATATGCCCTACTTCAAGTGTTCCTTTTTTTTCTTTTAAGAATACAGCCAAGCAAAAATTAGTTCTTGTCGACTTGCTATTTTGCACAAAGAAATTTTAAATATATTTAATGAATTGGAATGGCTTGTGGAATTCGCAGGCAAAAAAAAAATTGAAACAAGTGTTACCAGAGAAAGAGAAATACTTTCTTTGCTGCATGAAAACACATAGAATATATTAATAATAAAGCTACTCATGTTTATGTGTGTATTTTAGTTTCCTAAATTTCACATACAGTATTTTATTAAATATTAGTTTCCATGATTATGTCATCTAATTCCCCTATTTGTATTTGAGGACTTTAATGAAGGTTTCTGTCAATTTTGTATGATATATAGCATATTTTTCTATCATATTTTATCATTATTTTCCATAATGTTGTTTCTCTTTTGCTTTTTGTTGTTTTTTTTTTAAGTTGTTTGTGGCTTTCTATTATTTTTCTCCCTACCTTTGGGAACTAGTCCCATAGCCTAACTTGGATAAACATTTCCTGAGTAACACGACTGCTCTAAAAAATTACATAACTCCCGTGCACACACCTCAGATCTCTAGCATAGCCAGGTCATTTTGTGTAGGAAGCAGCAGTAACAGTCTGTCCTCCACCTGGCATTGAGCCTAGCAGTGAAAATCTGTTTTGCAAACAGAATGCAGTGTGGAGATGAGTGGGAGGAGGCCTGGGAGGACGGAGACCATTGTTCCCGCATGCACTAGGCGCTGTCACTTGCTCTGTTCCCAGTGGAGCGGGGGCACCTCACAGGGAAGGCAGCCAGGCGTCCTGGTCTTCTGCTGGCCAGGAGCCAAGGATCCAGGCCTGTTTCTGGGGGGCATTGCCATGTATTTTCTTCAGAAGATCGGCCCTGCTCCTCCTCCTCCTCCCTCTCTGCCCACGGTGGAGAGTATCACTCTGGTCTCCAGGCAGCCAGCATCCTGGTTAGTATGTGTGTACCCCACTCTGCCAAGGACTTGGCCTCTCCCCCTCCTCGTGGCCCTGACTTGGTCCGTCATTCATTTTTGTGCTCTTCTTTTGTCTCCTGTCGCCCCCTTTCCCCCTTGCTGATTTGGGTCACTTGAAGCCCAAGGCAAGGCTGCCTCTGTCTCCCTCTGGCCCTGGCCCCTCCCCCTCCCCCCTTCTTGCTGTCCTGGCTCCATTCATATTCCAAAGTGTGTGCCCCTATTATTTAGGATCAGATTCTCTGTGGCATTGTAGGTGGAGAAAATGCTGAATGTTCTTTTTTAAATGTGGGTTCAGTGTTCTGTGAGCTCCATTTTCTATTTTTTGTGTGCGTGCAGTACACCATGCTGATTTTCCTTCCTTTTGCTTCTTTCTATTAAAGGAAGGAAACTGATAAAAGCAAATATCTGTTAGAATAAGAACACCTTAGGCTTGTAGATAAAGCAGACTTTCCAGTCTCTCATTTCACATGTAAGTTTTAAAAGAGAGAATGTCTATGTGAGCATTATGGCTGTGCCAAGATATGAACATATGCATATGTTTCTTTGTAGAATATGCTGGCTGAATCAGTGTTTTGAAAGAAATATCTTTGCTATGTTTTTATGTCATGTGCACTTAAGCAGATACATAGAAAGATGGCTGATGGCTAGATGGTAAGAAAGGTTGAACGATAAGTAGACAAATATATTTTTTAACCTAGTTAATTGGGAAAGAAAAAAATACCTCCCTTTTGATTATAACTAGTGTGTAGGTATGTGTGTATATAAATCTGTTCAATAGTATTCTCTGTAAAATACTTTTCAAATGTCCCAATTCATATAAATAATGAACAGTTTTATTCTTCAAAACAGACTTGTTTTGAAGGAAAGTTAGAACTGTTCAACAAAGTTCATTTCCTTCTTGATAGGAATCATCATTTCAATACTAATTTCTTGAAGGAGACGTTTTCATATTTTCAGATGATAGCTCTTTCTAAGTCCCTGGTGTTTTTCCTTCGGTGATAGCTTGCAATTTATGGTTTCATAGCTATGAATCACCTATTTCAAAAATTCACTACCTTCTCATCTAGTCTGGTTTATAGAATAGTCTCAAATAATTGACTAAATGCTGCTTTTATTTCCATTTTGAAAATTTTTTTATCAAGAAAAAAATAAGTTTAAACGAAGACTGCTTTGTACTGGCAACTGTTTGCAAGACTGTAAAAGATATCACAAGATAATTTCTCTTCCAGACGCTGAACCCGAAATGGAATGAAGAATTTTATTTTAGAGTAAGTTTTTTTTTTCATTTTTTGGTCATAATTGTTATTTCTCACTAGATTGATAGATCACAGTAGGTTCATCTGGAAGGAGAGCTATAACATTTTAAATGAGAAATGCCTTTTAAGATGAGAAATAGTTAGGTAACTCCTTAATACACCCCAGATTTGAAAAACAGCAGTAGTCCCAAAATATAGCCTGTTAGATTTGGAAATGTGGGGGAGGAGGTAAAATAGACAAACTACCATATTTCATCTTTTCAACTCAAACTTTTCTTTTAAAAAAAGAAGATAAAATGCAGTTGAAAACAATATTTTAATTATTTCTATGTGGCAGAAATGATAAATTGTTTTAAGAGAGTAAAACAGTAGAGGAAACATGATAATAAACTGAATCATTAATTATTTACCAATGATGGAGCTGGGGTGCAGCTCAGTGGTTGAATGCTTGCCTAGAACTTTTTTCAGGCCCCTGTTTGATCCCAACATAGCTGTTCACCTCATACACCCCCAAATAAAGATGACCAATTGTATTCTAGTTAAGAAGGAAAATTCTTTTTTGTACTTCAAATAATTAATGGGCATCAATGTGTATCATATAATATTGTATCTGGAATCTCAATACCATTGGCTAAAGTAAAAAGTTTCTCAGCCTTTTATATCTAATCTTTTTTTTTTTTTGGTGGGGGAGGGGGGTCCAGTCGTGGGGCCTGAACTCTGGGCCTGGGCACTGTCCCTCAGCTCTTAAGCTCAAGGCTAACGCTCTACACTTGAGCCACAGCACCACTTCCGGCTTTTTTTCTTTTTGCTTATGTGGTTCTGAGGAATCAAACCCAGGGCCTCAGGCATGCAAGGCAAGCGCTCTACCACTGAGCCACCTTCCCAGCCCTTATATCTAATCTTTTAGAGCAGTTGAATTCTCATCTGTGAGTTAGCCAAGATTTCTGCTTTGTGAGCCCTTGTGCTGGTTGCTGTTTTTTTGGAACCAAAAATTTTAAAATAGTAAACTGCCCAACTATTAATTGAAAAACAGAAGATATTTTTTCCTCTTTAAAATGAAAATACTTAAATTGTCCTTTTGCTGTAATATTAAAACACTGCTCGCCTCCTAAATATGTTCCAGATTCAATCTTCAGATTGCTGCAGAATCCTAAGAGCAATAGTGCCACTAAACCCAAGAACAATAGTGCCACAAAACCTACATATTGGTCCCCTCTTCCTTCCAGTTGAAATAATATTCTGGGCTCCAACCTTGGATGACTGTATCTTGCATCTGTTTTCTATTATGTTTAGAGCTGAAATATGGCACTGATATTTTAATACTTCGTAGATCCTGTGTTTAGCCTCTGCCAGATGTATTTTAAATTACTCTGTGAAGGACCAAAAAGCAATTCAGTACTGAGAGGTGTTATTGGCCCTTTGTTAACTCTCAAATTCATCTTTCTTCTTTGGGGGAAATTCCAAATTATCTGCACTTCTTTTATTTGAACTGTATTTATGTGAGTTTTCACAGCCAAAACTTCTTTTGATGCATGTAAGCTATAGACACATTTAATTTTTCCTTTTGTTGTTATGCTTTGAAGATCTTTGTTTTGGTGCCCTCCTTAAAACTTCATTGGGTACCTACGATGTGCCAGCTTCTGCTTCAGCCTGAGGATAGGCAGCCCTTGGCAGAGCTGATGAGTAAGCTGCAGACCTGTCCTCGCTGATGGCTCTGCCCCTAGCAGCCAGGAGCAGACCAAGGGACCAGGAGCACAAGATCTCTGGGCCTCATGGTCAAGTGTGATTTCATTTCATACTCCGTCAGGAAGCAGCCAAGACCTAGTGGCAGTAGGCTTGGGTCATGCCTCTGGCTTTCGCGATTGTAGGTTTTGTGACCTGGAAAATAGGCCTGAAGGATCCTTAGTCTCCATAGGTTCATTGTCTCTCACATTGGAGAGAGAAGTCCTTCCTCAGTATAGGTTTGTTCCCTACTTTAGATTCCCATATAAATTTCACCTCTTGGGGCTGAGAAGGTAGCTCAGTGGTAGAGTGCTTGCTTTGCATGCATGAGGCCCTCGGTTCGATTCCTCAGCACCACATAAGATGATTGTTCTAACCCCATTTATATAAATAAAGAAGTATACATTAGAAAAAAATTTCACCTCTGATACCATGTCTTGCCAGATTGGTAGCTAGAAAATGCTATGAACCTGGATGATGATATGAGCCATTTGGGGGGAGGTTTTACTAAAAAGAAAGAAGCAAACAAATCAAAGCCTGTTACTCGGCAGTGGCGCTGTGGCTCAAGTGGTAGAGCATTAGCCTTGAGCCTTGAGCTGAGGGACAGCACCCAGGCCCAGAGTTCAGGCCCCACGACCAATAAAACAAAAACAAAGCCTGTTACTCTGTCATTGGGCTAACATTGCTGGAAAAGGGGACATTGTTCTTGCTGGTTTTAATTGTTTACAGCTTAGGCCTGGGAGAACACAAGGACAGACCTGCGTCCAGTCCTCATTGGCCAACACTGGCTGGGGCTTCTGGGAAAGCTGCTTCATTTGTAATTTTAACTCTTCATGTATGAAATCGGGATGATAGTTACAGATTGTGGGGGCTGCTGTGATGATTAGATGAGATCACGCAATGCTAACATTTAACAAGGAAAAGTACCCTCAGAGTTATCTCACAATGGCAAATGGCTGCTTTTTTAATGTTTTCATCATCACCATCATCATTATTAGACGTAACAGATTTCCTCAGTCTGAGTCTTTGTGAGGATAGAACCTTGGTGTCTAGACATGAAAAGAAATTAGGGACTCTTTAAAGTTGTTTAGATTTACCTTTCTTCTCTTTCCTCTTCCCCCTCCATCAAGCAAGATAAAGGCCGTGTCTTTTCCTGGTATGCCTTCATATTAGGGATAGAATAATAACAAAATCAATCATAAAAGATTTTATTTATAGACATAGTTTCCAGAAAAGCAAAAAAGTGGTTGTTTTCAATTATACATTGACTTGGGTGCATTATGTGAAGCCTGATTCTCTTCTTTCTGTCCCTTATTTCCTGCTTCAAATGGTTTCTATCCATTTTTGAAATGTTATTCATATCCCTTCCAGGTAAACCCATCTAATCACAGGCTCTTGTTCGAAGTATTTGACGAAAACAGATTGGTAAGTGAGTTCTTAATTTTGAAACTTTGCTTGTTTTCTTAAATACTGGGTTTTTCAAACTTTGTGTTTTGATCACACAGACAACAGCCTATATGCCTAAAGTGAAAACTATTTTTCTTACAACAAAAGTGCAAAATCTTCACAAATAGTGTTAACAAAAAATTATTTGAACATGTATGTGGTTTTAGCAGTTAATACTAATCAAAGTTACTGGTGATGCACTCAGCATGAATGAGTAGGCTCTTGTTTGAGAATACAGAACAGTAGCCAACTTTGTAAGGAAGCCATGAGGCAGAGAAAGCAGCCATATAAGGTTTTGGTTTTATGCCAGACTATCACACCGTTGTATTCAAAGCAACTCTCAGGTGATCCTCTCTGGGGAAACAAAAATCTAATTAACAGTTGATGGGGGGTGGGGGGACATCGTGGAGAATCCACACTTAGCAGGTACAATTAAGGAATATTTTAAAAGTGGTATACTCTCAAGAGAAATCTTTCAAAGTACTTTTAAAGAGACAAAAATAAGGGCCAGGTGTGTGTAATTCAGTGGCTGAGCACTTGCCTAGCAGGTAGGTGTGAGGTCCTGGATGGCAAATCTAGCCCCCTCCAAAACACAGACATCTCCAAAGAGATGCCTGGTTGTATATAACTGGCATAAACTCAAATTGAATATTGAGATTGATGTATAGAATGTATGCACAGAGTTGCTGATATCTATGCAAGAACTCAAAGATTTATTCACTTTAGAGAAGAAATTTTAGAATTAAATGTGCCTTAAAGTGTTTTGTTTGCTTAGGTAAAACTCCAGAGTCAAGTGTTCCAATGATGCCAACAACATAATATGTCTTTAAAATACCCTCAGAAGTGATATTAAAACTCAGTGTAAGCTGGACACCAATGGCTCATGCCTGTAATCCTAGCTACTTGGAAGCTGAAATCTGAGGTTCTCAGTTCCAAGCCAGCCTGGGCAGGAAAGTCTGTGAAACTCTCCAATTAACTACCAGAAAACCAGATGTGGCGCTGTGGTTCCAGATGGTAGAGCGCTAGCCTTGAGTGGCAAAAGGTCAAGAACAGTGCCCAGGCCCTGAGTTCAAGCCCTACAACTGATCCCCCACTCCCCCCCCAAAAAACCCAAACTAAACCAAAACAAAAACCCAAACCCAGTACAGTCAGTTACACTCAAATTTACTTCCCTGATAATTTGTGTTGATTGGTTAAAAGAGATATTCTCGCAAGCCCCTCTTTCTGCAGAATTCAGTCGAAACTCCAGGGTTGTTTGTTCATGATTTATTTTTTAAATAGCCTGAGGTTAACAAAATATATCATGATATATCTGCAGGAGGCATCTTAAACTATGTTATGGAACTCCCTCACCTTAGAAATCAGAGAACCCTGGTCTACAGTTTTTACATAATTAAAGATCCACACAGGGTCCAACCCTTGTCCCTTCAACTCTGCTCAGAGCTGAACTAGGCAGAACTTTTCATCCTTATTAAAAATTCAAGAATGTATTCCATCTGGTATGCTTGCCATTATTTACCAACACATAACACTTCCAGATTCTGACCTACTTATCTCAGGATCTATCTTATTATAAATATGAGATCTTGTTGGCTTTGTACTCAACTGGACACTTTTGTACCTTAGGGATGATGATTATTACCATCTCCAAGTAACAAATTCGCTTTTGTTATCTGTGTGAAGTTGCCCCTCGAGCTCATCCAACAGGAACAGCATGAACTGCAGTGAATGTACCATAGTAGTAACTGCCTGCAGATCCCAGGCTCCATAGATAACCCTGACTATAAGTATTGAGCAAGATAGAAAAAGGACCAAATTTTGGGGAAAAGTGCCTCTTGTTTGATACTTTTGATTTCACCATTTAATTTTCTTCTAGTAAGACAATCACTGTTTTCAAAGTTTCCCCTTTCCATGTTCTAAAATAATGATTGCAGTGGGATCTGTCCTTCGAAACTACAAAGGACTTTGAATGTAAAGCTCTTAAGAAATCCTCTGTGAATGCAAAGTTTACCTGAACGGTGTTTTATAATATTAACACTTAGCTTTGCTCCAGGCAAAATCCACAGTGTCTCTGCTATGCAGAGAATGCTGCTGCTGGTAGCTTTTTTCTTTGTTGGCTATTAATCCAGCAAGAATAGCACGTGACTATAGTACAGCTTGGACATTCTAGCATTTAAACAAACCAGCTTCCATGTCTCTTGTAGAGGTCATTTTTGGCATTGAAAACTCAAGCTTCTAGAAACCAGGTTTGGATATCTGTAAACACAGGGTTAATTTTCTATGCCCTCCACTCTGAAGCTGTTGATGTGCAGATTTTAAAATAAGCTTTTATCATTCTTTGCAGCTTGATATTTCCCCTCCCCCCACTGAAATAAATCTCTGTTGAATAACTGTTTCTGGATCATAGAAAATCATAATTCTAAAACAATTTCCAAGTCTAAAACAATTTCCAAGTGAGCTACAAATTGATGACAGGTTTTTGAATGTGCACTTGTATATATTAGGTTCTTTTTTGACTTTTGCAAACCTAGCAAGATTCCACACGTTTGTGTCCCAACTATGGAAATATTGCTGACTTCTTACTGGATAGCTCCAGGCAGCATTTCTTCTGTTAAATTACTACAGAAACCGCATTCATAATCCTCCAGTTTTCCTTCCTTTTTTGGGGGTGGGGTGGGGTGGGGTGAGGTGGAGGGGTATTGGTGGTGTTCTTTTTCTCCAACCTGGCATGTATGAAAGAATATTTTTTTCTAGCTGAGTTCCTTTTCTCTGGTACTCCTGTATCTGGACGGTCATATCATATGTGAGATACAACCCCCTCCCCCTTTTTAATGAAAAATGTTTATAGTACCCAGAGGTGGACCAGACACAACTGGCCCTGTGGTATGCCGTACCCCGCCTCCCCCCCTTTGCGCCTCCTCCTAGCTATTTTGTTACTGGGAGATCATGGTCTAATTATTTCCCATTAAAAGGACACTCATTCGGTGGGGTGTGTAATCGTATTTATAGTACGTTTTATGAGTTTGCATTCCGTCATGGTAGTGTAGTAATATCATAAATAACAAACAACATCTGACACTTGGGAAAGTTTTTTTTTTTTTCTTTTTCTCCCTCCTCCTAGTCCTAGTTTGGCTTGTCAGTGTTGGGGGTGAGGTGCAGCCCTGTTTGGCTTGTCAGTGTTGGGGGTGAGGTGCAGCCAGTGTGTGCTGGGTGTTTATTAATCCGGGGTCCCTGGCACCACCCTGGGTGTGGTGTTGGGAAGGGAAGAGTGTCCTGGTGCGGGCGATGCGGTGCGATCCGCAGCAGTGTGGCTGAAGTGAGCTCGGGGCTCCCTGCTGGGCCGCCTCTGCTGACGGGACGGCAGCAGCTGCGGAGGGGCTGTTTCAGGCTGTGGCTGTTTAAAAAAAAAGAGCGAGCGGGCGAGAGCGAGGGGGGCAGAGCGGCGTCGGGCGCGGGCATTGGAGGGGGAGCGCGCGGTCATGTGGTTCTGGCCATCCTACCCTCTGTCACAGTGCAGACCAGAGCTTTTTGCTCTTATCCAATCATGCCTGGAATGCCGCTGCCACTTGGGCTATTTCTGCTATCTGTCGCTCTTGGTCGCAGTGCTAACGGTTTGGCAGATGGGACGCTTTTTCTTGGAGTTGGTGTCTTTGGGTTCTGACTTCTGGCAGTGCCGGGCTCCTTGCTGCCGCCGGCCCTCTCTCCCCTCCCGGCCCCCCTGGTCACCATGGCCCATCGGCTTCGGTTTCATTTTGGCTCTGGTCGTAGCAACACAGCCCCCGAGTCAGAGATCCTAGACCAGGAGAGAGAAGACGACTTTTCCATGGCATTCCACACCCTCCCGCGGAGGAGCAGCCCGCACCCCTGCGCGCAGCCCGCAGGGGGGGAGGACGGCGGGGGGCTGCAAGAAGGGGTGGGCGCGCTCAAGCGCAGCTCGTCCATGTTCATCCCGCAGCTCCTGGCGGGGGTGGACGCGCGCCCCACCCGCAGCTCCTCCGTGCAGATCTCCCTGCAGCGCAAGGCCGCCGATGGTGCCACCGAGGGGTGCGGGCCACCCGAGGGCCCCGGCGGTGACCGGCCCCCCAGTGCGGCGTCCGACCTCGGGGACAAGGCCTTCGCCGCCAACACCGCCAGGGCCTCGGCTCCCAGGGGCTCCAAGGAGCCCCCCCCGAGGGACACCCCCGGGAGCCCCCCTCCCGGGCCACTGCAGGACCCGAGGCCCCAGGTCAACGGCACGTGCGGACCCCGCGTGCGGTGGCCTGGGCCCGCCGATGACCCCGAGGATCCGGCCCCGGGCCTGCGCATCCAGCACCGCGCCTCCAGCGCCGACGTGCGCCAGGTGCGCCTGCTGCCCTTCGGCCCCGACGGCCCGGCCACCCCCGAGCCCCGGCGCTGGTCCCTGCAGCACGTTCCAGACGCTTCCGGAAGCTCCGGGAAGCGATGCTTTGTCTTCCAGTTGCAGCAGCCCCATCCAGGTGCTCCGGGACTGGGTGGTGACTTCAATTTTGGCTTCACGGGCACCAAGGGGGACAGGTTGGTGAGGTATCCCCGCATTCGGCTGGAGAGGAGTACTTCGTACCCCACCCAGCCCCGGGGGGGCCGGGGGAGCCCCACCGAAGAGCGAGGCGCCCCGGAGGCGCTGTCCCGGGCCGGCAGGATGGTCCCGGAGATCCGCAGGACGAACTCCGGGGAGAGGACCTCGCAGGGCGGCCAAGGATGCATGTTTAAGATCAGGCAAGATCAAAACGCAGGGCAGCAGCATTTTCGCATTCTTGTGACCCGGGGACCCGAAGAAGCCCCCCCGAGTCCCCAAGAGGAGAAGAGGCCAGGTCCCCCGGGGGCCGGGGCCGGGGTAAGTGTGAGCATGCGCCCCTCGGAAGCCAGCTTGCCACTACTTAAAGCTTATTCTGCAGCGGAACTGTAAGAACTCCATCCTCTCCGCGCAGTTTCCCTGTTTTGGGGGCCAGTGGAACCCGGGC